TCCCAAAAGGTGTGTGCAGTAATTACACTGTGCAAGTTCACAAGAACCCAAGGATGTGTCTTTTTATTTCCATAAGCAAGCAGGGGCAAACAAGTATAACTGGGGCCAATAATCAAGGCTATATATTTTTATTTATGTTTTCATAAGTGGTAGACAAAATGTTAATCCTCTAAAATGTATTTTTGTGGGTCTGCACAAGGTTACAAAGGCAGATAATATGTCCTCATAGCATGCGTTTGGAAAGTAAATAGAGCCAAGGATTGAACAGTTAACCTTAAGCAGAGAACATTTATCATATGTCTTGTATGTTTTGTGAATGAACTGAATTACTTAATAGATATTACCAAGTTAAGCAACAAGCATTTGGATAGCGGCATTTTTTCTCATGGCATCTATTGTTTGCTTTAGATTCAAGGCATTTACTTTGCTATCCAAGTCATTCACAAGCTTCACGCTCCTTAACAGCATTGATTTGTGATTGGGGGTGGGAATCTCAAACACAACCTCACGCAACGTCTAAAGGGTGAGAAGGGCTTATTTCAGCGACTACCTCAAGGTTAAGTTTTCGTTTCTCTTCCTGTTTACACGGGTCACTGTGCGCCAACCAGCTTGGGCATGGGTCACGTTCTTTGCAATCAATTGAGAGTCAATGTGAACAAGCGTGAGATGTGTCTTTCTCTAACGTGGGTAACGTGTGTGTGTTCTATAGCTATTCTATGACTGTGCTTATTGTATTTCAGTTTAGTTCGCCTTATTTGGCATATTTAAATAATCTGATTTTGGATGTGAGACTAAGTTCTCGATTCTTCCATGGCCAAATTGCGTTTAACGTAAGAAACGAAAATATCCCCCACCTCTATTTGTGATGTTATGCATGTAGCCGTTTCCAGAGCTTTTGCCACACGCCCTTTTTAGACTGACGACCAAGAATTGATTGGGTCGATTACAGCCCCAGTCAGAGGAAATTATTGCAACATAAGTGGTACCTGTACTGGACATGTGATGATGAGCAAAAAGGTCGATTACATATTTTGAAAGACACTAGACATTTCAAAAACACCTGAGCGCACCTGACAAAAAAAACGTTACATCTAATCGACACCTTTACACCTATGCACAGACCGGCGTGTGATCTTATTACAGTTCAAACAAAGAAAGAAGCAGTGTTAAAGCCACCCTGAGTAATTTTTACTCCATATGAAAAAACATGTCAACTATAGTAACAAATGTGAACTTTTTAAAAATATTTACCTCCATCATGTTTTTGTAATTGTTTTCACAGTCTTAGAATTTAACTAATTGACATGGAGAGGAATCCTATCCATGTCAATGCACTGTCTTGAAAAACAGTGGTGGATAAGGACTCTTCCAAACACTCCCCTCAGGCAGGAGGCTGGGGTCCATCAGGACTAGAACCTCCCGCCACAAGAACAGTTTCTTCCCCTCTGCTGTTGGACTCTTGAACACTTCTTAATTATGCAGAAGTCCAGCGTCATAGCAGCAAAGAGTCAAAATCACAAACCACACACACCAAAAGACAGCGTCACCACAAAAGGAGGCACATTGTGTAGTTTGTACACACCAACAGTGAGGAGAACGAGGAAGAATCTACAACAGTCGCAGGATGTTCTGACTCGCTCCGAGTCCAACTACTATGTCACAAGTTTCAACAAAACTTACAAAATGTACTCTTTTGAATGTACTATGAATAGTTATAATTTTTTTTTGCGTTGTGTGATTTTATATTTTTTGTTCAGCATTTTCAGTTGTGCGATACAAACACACTTACCTGCTCCCACACACTATCTGAAGTTATCATCAAATTAAGCAGCAAAAAATGTCCTGCCTTTTAATAAAACAATATTAAAAAAAATGTATGAGGGGATATATTTTTTCTCTGTAACTTGTCCTAGGGCGGCCAAAGGCATCTTTACGGTTTTGGATAAGCACTTGTGAGGAGTTCATAGCCGTCCTGGTGGTGCCCTTACAAGTCAGTGGTGAAGTGTGGACAGGACGTCGGCCACAGCAAAGACATGGCGTTATAGCCATTAAGTTGTCAAAGCAGGAGACAAAAGAGCTCTCCAGCTCAGATTAATGACATTAAAGAACATCTGCACTGACAATGAAGGGCCCAATAAAGTAATACAGTCATAACATCATTGAGGACACATCATAGAACGCTAAACAGACTTTCATATCCCATGCTGCATTGCTGCGTGTGTTGGTTGTCGTCCAGTGAGATTCTGGAGGGTTATCAGGCATGCTGACACGGCCTCAGTCTGCAGAATTACAATGATGGAAGGACTATCCTTTGATACGCAATAGGAATTGGCTTGATCCAAATGTCTCCACCACAATGATAATTCTAAACCATTTGAGACGAGGTTTCACAACCTTTAAAAATCAGGCAATTAACATTTTAGAATTCAAACTCAACATCAAAATGTAGAAATCTGAAACATGCATTAAGCAGATAAAAATGTATCTGAACAGTGGAAAAATAAATTCTTATCTTAAAAATACTTTCCAATGAGAGAGCTATTGTTAGACATTGCCTTGCTATATTTTGTGATATACTGAACAAACAACATACAAAATACGTTGAGTCTGTTGTGGCACAATTTCTCTATTTTGCTGTGCCCTTCTGTCCAATCTGCTACATATTAGTATGAATGCAGAAAATCAGCTGCATGCATTACGGATCAGTAGCATTTCTCATTCTGCCTGATCATCTAAATGGAGTGAAAACAGGAAAAATCTGAGTTGGTATCTTAACTAATCACCATTCATCACCAGCAGACGATAACAGAAGATTTCCAGATGGCTGTCCATTTGCCTAAAAGGCACAAACTGTTCCACTATTATGGCAAAGATGAAGATTTACTACAACTCATTAAAACATGAAAAGTCGTCCGTAAAATGGACCCATAGAAGCTGCAAACAATGTCCGTGTGTCCGTACCAGGAACAGGCCCTGGGAGTGATGTATGGTGCAATGGCTTGGAACAATGCAGCAGCTTTTTCTGCCTCAAATTTCTCACCCATCAATTTGTGTTAAAGAACAAAGCTAAAGACTTCCACAATGCAGTGTTTGCTTACACCTTCCTCCAAAGACACTTGCTACATGCACAGGGAGGAAAGGTTAAGTATGGGATGTGGCATTTGAAGACTCCCACTAGAAACCGACACTAATGACCAATCTTAAGCGCTGCTGTTCAAAACTGCTCACACTCAGGGCTTTCAACTAAAAAGGAACGACTATTGGGGTTTTCTGTAACAATACAAGCACTACAACAAAAGGTTTTGTTCAATTTAATTTAGTTGCCAATAGCATTAGAGAAAAAATTACTCACGTCATTGACAAATGTGTTGTCTTCAATCAAAAAAAAGTGAATTGTAACAAAGAAATAAGTGATTCACTTGATATGATACTTATACTTGATATTATCAGTGACGACACTGAAAACAGCCTTTCTTCTCAGACATAAACTAAGCTGAATTATTACAAAGTGGGTCCAAAAGTGTCTTTTACTGCTATTTTCCCAGCAAGTATCGACAATTAACTTTGTACAAGAAATGGTTAAAACTCCTTTTGGGATAATCAGGATTTCAGCTTAACCGATATGATCAAGGCTAAGGTTAGGTTACAGTGCTCAAAGGAAAATGATTGACCCACCCTTTAATGGTGGAAAGATGTCAGGGCCCCAATCCAACAACTTCTCCTGGATTGGCACAGTGTATATTTGATTATTGTGTTTGTAAGAGTGCATGTGCATCCTTTAAATAAATGTTACAATACAGTTAATATTGTAGTTCATAAAAGCATATGGAACCCCCTATAAGACATCAAAGTAGAAGAGTAACCTGAATTTAAGTCATTCTAAATTGGATATTCAATGATTGCAGAGTGGAAAATGAATGTTAATAGTTCAAACAATTAAATGAACAGACGTAGATAAGATTAATTACTATGGCACCTTTTGCACTTGAATACGGAGACAAAACGACCCATGACATCACAACAGCCTGCCTCATGTGCAGTCATTAAGCCAGCCGAGCGGGGAGTATAATATCTTGTAGAGCAGACAGTGAGAGGCTTAAGGGGGGAGGCCCTCAGAAACTCCAGCTTAAAGCACAATACATGCTCTAACAGACTGGCTGTGTGACATGTGCAACTCCCCCAGCGTCATGTCCCCCAATGAATTCAGACAGGATTCATTGGGGAGATGGCATGACCCACTTCTATAAAAGGGCATACATGCTTCATTTTTGCTGATGTTGAATTTCTACATCCAGGTACTGTTTTCACTGGATAATGCTTAGAGCAGTGGACGCCTATACCCATCACTGGAAAGGCCAAAGGTGACACAGATGCAGGATTATGGGAATGCAAGTCCTTGTCGGTTGTCCTTTACAGTCAATCAACAGATTTACAGTGTGCATCTGACCTTTTGATGACATTTTTGTCAATAACTGCACCTTGCTTTGGTGGAATATAGTAACCAAAAAGACTGATAGTTACTCTTGCCTTCCACGCAAAGACCTCATTTTGACTTTTCTAAATGATGATAGACATAATTCCAGGATTAATAGATTATGTTGTGGCAGAATCATCGAGTAGCACAAAACAAAGCCAGAGATTATCAGAATAGTGAAGCAGTCCGGTGCGCACTTTATCTCTCCTCCAATAAGCCATTCTGAAACGATGTAGCCATGCTTATCAGGGGCTATTAAAGACGCCATTATCCACTCAAACAAGTGTTACACACGCAAATAAACCAATTAACTCTTGGCTCATGCATAAGAAGAGTTGCCGAAAGAGGAACCCATTAGGATCCTGCATGGTTTGATCACAAACACTGCACCTCCTCACAGACGCCAAGGCTCTTGTGTTGTCAGTTAGACGCGGTGGTAATTGACTAGTTGCTTTGATCATTTTAACAACAGCCAGCCAAATTGACATGAGAATTAAGAAAGAAAAAAAAGATGTCACCAACTCACCTCTCACACGCTGCGGGACAGCGGTGCCCAAACACAGCGCCAAGGAAAGGAGAAGCAGTCCCATCCTCCGTGCGCGTCGCTCAGCTCCAACAAACCCGTGTGGCAGCGTGACTTCCAAGGTTAAAGATGAGACCGAAAATCACCGTGCCAGAGCCAAAAGTTCCCCCCCTTGTCTGGGCGGCAATGAGAGCCGGTGAATACGTCCGGTAAAGGGAAGGTGAGGTCTTGTCCAGTGATGAAGAGCGCGCATTCAAGTTTGCGTCCTCCGCGCGGATGACGTTTGGAACAAGCGGAGCGCAGTTGGATGTGCGCTGGTCAGCCTCCGTGTCTCGTACCGCAGTGGGGAGATGTTGTGGAGACAGGGACGTGCGCGCTCAGCTCCAGGACAATTAAAGACAAGCGCAAGGTCCGGACGCGCGCTTCCGGATGGCACCTTCACAATAAAATGCACACGTGAGCCACTTCCGCTCACGCTTCTGAAGTACTCTGTTCAGTGGATAAGGCAAGGCAAGTAAGGCAAGGTATGATTATGTCTATAGCGCAATGCATTCACAATCACACAACGTGCATAGACTACATTTAGCCTATTTTACATCTAGCCTTTTCATGCCCTGTGCTTCTCAAACGAATTGCCCCCTGGTGGGATGAAAGAAAATAAAGTAGTCTGAATCTGAACATTTAAAATAGGCAATATTAATAGAAGACAAGATACAATCTTTCAGCTGTATACGCACAGCTAAACCTTACTTTGCTGTTTTTGTCTGAATATTATCGAGTAGAGGCTTGACTTACATATGCATGAAAACTAGAGCTATTGTAGTCAGATTAAAGCTGCATGAATCTGAACTGCTGACCCCTGAGATTATGCATATTGGTGGAAAAACATGCATAGTACAGGATGATTGACTTTTTAGATTAAGAGTATAAACAGAACGACCATGCAAAATATTTTCAAATTGGTGAAGTAGAGCTATTGTGCCTATTTATTTTATATAACGTCCTTTATTTATTTAACTGATTAAATTGAGTTAATTACAGTATGATCTCCAATGTCAACCTTTGAAATTGTATTAAATGCAACACAAACAGCATGGCTGACTTACTACTTAACAGCACTAGGGAAATGTAATTAACAATGATCGTGTAAACATGTATAATCCCTTCTTTGTGTAGAAAAAGATAAAGCTATAGTTTTTTTTGACTGATGCTGAGAATCAGTCCGCAAAACTTTTCCAGCTTGAAAATTGCCACTAGATCTAACAGGTTTTCATGGTCACCAATTAATCTGAAAACCTTCTTTCATTATCTACCAACGCTACATACGTTACCTTAATTGAGAAAAGCCATTTTAAGTCTATCCTGATAGTGACTTGTATTCTTCCGCCTCCCTCTGTAACCTACTTTACTCTCCCCATAGATTCCTCTGAGATGCAAGGAAATCGGGGTTACTTATGATGAATTAGGGCTTTTCAAATATCCTTTCTTTAAAAGCCTCTGTTGGTGAGGGCTTCTGTTCAAATCCCTTAAGGTGAAAGTCTTTATGGCAGATATCTGCAAGTGCACTTGAGCTAAGAGCCCCATCTCCTGTCAACTATACAGCTAAGTTCAATGTTAATGTGGACTTCACCATGTTTGCATATCTGTCCAAGTTTTTGATCAGGTTTGAACTCAATCATGTTTAGCAACGCATAGAAAGTTTGGCTCTTTCTACACTAGGGTAATCACTTTGAAGATCTATTTGGTTAATAGAAATATGTAATTTTGATGGTGCATCTCGCATAGACTGTAAACAGATAAACAGCGCTAACCCCCTAACGTAATGCAGCCCCATAGGAAAGTGCTATATATACTTGCTCTAGTTCCTATTGCCTTGCATTGAAAAGTTAACTCCTCAAGCTCAGTAACCGTTTGTGTCACACTCGCCATTTTGGGCATAAAAATCAGTTATGATCCTAACATTTTTATGTTCTTTGTAAATCCATAGACCTTCATCTGGGAGAAACTCCAGCTAGCTTTAGCAACCATCATAGAAACACTGTCACAGCGCAACGCTAACCCCGTTGGAACGAATGCCCTTAAAAGGAAATGGGCTCTGACTAGGTCATGTTCAAAACGGATTCTTCCATACTCCGCAAACACTACGCCAGCAGTCAGTGAGTCCTCTCCTACTGTCTATGAACACATGTATTACTTTGGTGCAGTTATTGCTTTCAACATAGGAGACCATCACATGCTAATGAGGGACCATTGTTGATATCCAATAGCTAATCTAATTTGAGAGATACTAGTCGAAATTCATTATCAAACATTACATATCTGGTATTTGTTTTTGTGTTTCCTATTCATACACTATAATGTCCCAGAAATCAATGTGCGTGGTAGAATGTAGCAGGCTAGAGAAAGGTCAAGACCAGATGAGTTGAGTGGGGTAAATTGTGACACCTCAATCGATGTCCCCAGGTTTACATGTATATTGGATAATCGATTGATAAGGGATATATATTGTAAATGCTCTGATTGATAGAAAGGCGGCTTGTTCATCCTCTGATTGGATCAAGTTTTCCTATTGGATCCCATCACTTGGTTTTTAATTCCCATTGCTGTATATTCTTGCGTTGTTTTTTTGTTATTCCATGGTCTTGAACCTGAGTTGATATGAAACTGCTGTATACCTACATTTCTTGTCTTGTCTTTACAGTAACATATTAGCTACACTGACTATAAGCAGCAAGGTCTTCCATTGGTGAAAGGAATTTGGGAAGAAAGAAACTTCATTACTCTACTGTACAGTATGTGTAACCTTGTGTTCCGGAAGATTTCTTAGAGTTGGTAACAATGCACCACATTTTATCGGCATTTACCAGAAAGTCCAAGCACGCTTACAGTTTTCGTTTTACAACTGCCAGCAAGAAACATAATCTGAACATTAATATACTTTACAAAGACTGTATCCCTTAATGGTTACAGTCTCTGAAAATAGACACATATGGGATTAGCAACAGTAGAGGCCACACATTATCTCTGCTCAATCCAAGCACGGTCTATTCTACAGCTCGTCATCAGTTCTAGTCTTACTTGAACTGGATATTTTGTATTTATATACGGTTTATTGAACATATTATATCAGACATACAGTATATAAATTGACCTTTCAAGACATTCAGCTTCATCTTGGAGCTGAGGCCTACTAAAGTACGAGGCTAGATAGATAGATAGATACTTTATTGATCCCCGTAGGAGATATTGAGGTGTCCAGTAGCAGCAAAAATAAAATGGATCATTCTAAAAAGCTAACAATAGTATTAATAAGCAACAGCCCTTCAGGTCACAGCAGCAGAGATGGTGTAGCCTCTGGGTGGAGCAGGACGGGCTACAGCAGCAGAGGTGGAGTAACCGGTGGGTGGAGCAGGACAGGTCACAAGGTGGTGCAGCCCCTTGGTTCGGACCATTTTCTCTGCTAGTCCAAAGTAAAATGCTGAATGCTTTCTGCCAATTTCCATCGCTTTCAAAAGTAAAACCAACAGTAAAACCAACTCAAAAGAGAAGAAAAAGTTCCCGCTAATGTCCCCATCAAAAAGAAAAGATTATCTCTAAATCCTAAACATCAATTAATATCAAATTGATGTGTGTCCACTGCTTTTGACAGATGCTTTTAGATGTCTGAGATGAGGCCTTTTGGAAACAGATTTAATCCTTAGGCGTGTGTGAAAAATGGAATATTGTGAATCCAAATGTGATTGCTATATTTCTACATAATTCATCTTATAAACTAACCAGACACTGTACAACCATAAATCACTCCAGAGATATGCTCTTTTGGCCCAACCCATAATGAAGCAGCTGAAGACAATGCGAATTCCTCATGAGAACTCTGTAATGGCTTCAAAGACAAGATCCTTTTCTTTGCGAAGCCACGGCAGGTCAAACTGCTTCAAGATTTGGAACAACCTCAAATGGAAACTTAAGTATGCATGAACTCAGCCATAGCGTCTACAATTGGCACAGGGCTTTATTATGCCTCTCGCCTTGAGCATGTCCGTAACTACAGTTTTAATGAGGTTAACCTCTGTAAAACACTGGATCAGGGCAAACCCGCCAGTTCTATCCAAACCCATCAGTGTGCATTTTCTTTCAAAACGCTTTTATCACAGTCCCTCTCTGCTCCCATATCTGCAGGTCCCCCCCTCCCCAATCACAGCGCTTGTGCATGTCCGAGGTCTGTGTCTTGCACCTCAAAAGACAGCCTAACAAAAGCCCAAAGGCAGACTGCAAAAGCGGAGCATGGTGGCCAGATAGTAAAAGAGATGGATGAAGAAAGTGGAGAGAGGGAAGAATGAGACAGTGAAGCAGGCAGGCAACACTAAATTAAATGCTCTTGGAGAGAAGACAGTGAATTAATTCCAAAGAGAATATTGCATTGTGTCTTCTTGCTGCTTTAGCTCTTTCAGCGTTCGGGACACGCAGCAGAACGTGGGCTGTTGTGGTCTCCCGGCAGTTCTCGCTCTTTTCTATTTTCATTGTACAACTGTATAAAACCATAGGATGACTTCTTCTGTAAAAAATAAGTATAAATATTGCTGCTGGTTTTGGCTGTGGGTGGGTTTCTAATGGGCAATTCAAGACCTCTTCTCATCTTGCCATCCACACAATCTGCATCACAACCCCCACTTCCCCCGAAGGATAACGCACTTCACAAATTTCCCAAGAGGCACCATAAGGGTGTTTACTTCAACGAGAGGAGGAGTAACGGCTTTTACAGCCAAACTTGTGCTAAGTAATTTATTTTATTTTTTTGCAAGTTCCCGATGAGAGTCTATTCCCACAGCCTTTTCCATAACCCCCTCTGCTAACCATAATAAGTGATCCGCTGTGAGAACCCCAACCCATCTGTTTCCACTGCGGAGATGACCGAGGCAGCAATCTGGAGCTTGTCAGGCCTTAGCTCTGCCAGCTCTTTTGGCGTCAAATATTAAGTTTTGGCAATCGTTTGTCATTCTGAGATTCCCCTAATATGGTAATAAATGTAATAACCAGGGATCAACACGGTTTATTGCTTAACTCTGT